AGTAGTAGTAGTAGTAGTAGTAGTAGTAGTAGTGAGTAGTAGTAGTAGTAGTAGTAGTAGTAGTAGTAGTAGTAGTAGTAGTAGTAGTAGTAGTAGTAGTAGTAGTAGTAGTAGTAGTAGTAGTAACCGTAGTAGTAGTAGCCCTAATGGAGCTCCTAATCGAGCTCCTAACAGAGCTCGTAGTAGAGCTCCTAGTAGAGCTCGTGGTAGAGCCCCTAGTAGAGCTCGCAGTAGAGATTTTGGCAGACCTCGCTCACACTAGAGCTCCTAATAGAGCACGTAGTAGAGCTCATAGTAGACCTCCTAATCGAGCTACCAGTAGAGCTCCTGGTAGAGCTCGCAGATTAACTCCTCATGGAGCTCGTAGTAGAGCTCGTAGTAGAGCTCCTAAGCGAGCTCCTGGTAGAGCTCCTAACAGGGCTCTTAACAGAGCTCCAAACGGAGCTCCTAATAGAGCTCGTAGTAGAGCTCGTGGTAGAGCTCGTAGTAGAGCTCGTGGTAGAGCTCGTGGTAGAACTCGAAGTAGAGCTCCTCGTAGGGCTCGTAGTAGATCTCGTAGTAAAGCTCGTAGTAGGGCTCGTAGTAGAGCTCTTAATAGAGCTCGTATTAGAGCTCGTGGTAGAGCTCGTATTAGAGCTCGTAGTAGAGCTCCTAATAGAGCTCGTAGTAGAGCTCGTAGTAGAGCTCCTAACAGAGCTCCTAATAGAGCTCCTAGCAGAGCTCCTCATAGAGCTCATAGAGCTCCTCTATGGGATTCCTAAGGGATCCCATAGGATTCCTAAGGGATCCTATAAGATTCCTATAGGATTCCTAAGGGATCCCATAGGATTCCTATAGGATTCCTAAGGGATCCAATAGGATTCCTAAGGGATTCCTCAGGGATCCCATAGGATCCTCTAGGGTTCTTAATGAATCCTATAGTATTCCTAAGGGATCCCATAGGATTCCTAAGGGATCCCATCGGATTCTTAAGGGATCCCACAGGATTCCTAAGGGATCCCATAGGATTCCTAAGGGATCCTATAGGATTCCTAAGGGATCCCATAGGATTCCTAAGGGATCCCATAGGATTCCTAAGGGATCCTATAGGATTCCTAAGGGATCCCATAGGATTCCTAAGGGATCCTATAGGATTCCTAAGGGATGCCATAGGATTCCTAAGGGATCCTATAGGATTCCTAAGGGATCCCATAGGATTCCTAAGGGATCCCATAGGATTCCTAAGGGATCCTATAGAATTCCTAAGGGATCCCATAGGATTCCTAAGGGATCCTATAGGATTCCTATAGGATTCCTAAGGAATCCTATAGTATTCCTAAGGGATCTTATAGGATCCTATAGGGTCCTATAGGATCCTATAGGGTCCTATAGGATTTCTAGAGGATCCTATAGGATTTCATAGATTTCCTATAGGATCCTATAGGATTTCTATAGGATCCTATAGGATTTCCTATGGGATTTCATAGGATTTCTAGAGGATCCTATAGATCCTATAGGATCTTATAGGATCCTAGCAGAGCTCCTCATAGAGCTCATAGAGCTCCTCTATGGGATTCCTAAGGGATCCTATAGGATTCCGAAGGGATCCCACAGGGTTCCTAAGGAATCCTATAGGATTCCTAAGGGATCCTATAGGATTCCTAAGGGATTCCATAGGATTCCTAAGGGATCCCACAGGGTTCCTAAGGAATCCTATAGGATTCCTAAGGGATCCTCTAGGATTCCTAAGGGATCCCATAGGATTCCTAAGGGATCCTATAGGATTCCTATAGGATTCCTATAGGAATCCCATAGGATTCCTAAGGAATCCCATAGGATTCCTAAGGGATCCTATAGGATTCCTATAGGATTCCTAAGGAATCCCATAGGATTCCTAAGGAATCCCATAGGATTCCAAAGGGATCCTATAGGATTCCTATAGGATTCCTAAGGAATCCTATAGTATTCCTAAGGGATCCTATAGGATTTCCTATAGGATCCTATAGGATTTCTCGAGGATCCTATAGGATTCCTCAAGAGCTCGCTGCACCGGTGCGCACACGCGTCGTGCTGTCAGAATCCGCATGGAGGACGTAGCGTTGAGAGCTTGGTCTGTGGAGGTAAGCTTTCGGGGTTGCTGGGGGTTGCTGGGGTTGCTGGGGTTGCTGGGGTTGCTGGGGTCCCGCGGTTGCCCCCGGGCCGGTCAAGTCGGCCTTGTCCCTAGGGGAGGAGGCGCTGTGGAGCTCCCCACTGGACGGGCCGGTCAACTGCGCCTCGTTCAACAACAACAACAACAACGACGACAACGACAACAACAACAACAACAATCACAACAACAACAACAACAACAACAACAACAACAACGACAACGACAACGACAACGACAACGACGACGACGACGACGACGACGACGACGACAACCACAGCAACAGAACAACTACAACCATAAATTTCAGACTGCTTGCTCTTATCTGCTCACCTGCCATTCAACACGTACATCACAAAGCCTCGACTTCCGCCCTCTTCGTCTTCGATCGTACCCCCTTGGGGTATATATTTCTCACTTGCAACGTGTATTCTGTGCAGCCCCTAAGGCACGGGAAGAAAGGACGGATCAAAGGAAGGGACAAGGGGCAAGCGGGTTGCTAAAGCGTGCGCCCTGCATAACTCGCGAGGAAGACTCGAACCATAGCACGATTCCCACGCAAAGCGTGAGAAAAGCCAAAGCGAGAGCGCGATTCCTAGGGGATCGACTACAGAATTGATTTACGCCAGAATTACCCGTTCGTCGAATCTACGAAGGAGTACGTCGTGTTTTCAAGCATTAGACAACCACTCCACAGAATCCTCTCAGACTCGACGAACAGACATGAATGTTGGGGTACACCCATCTTGTAGTCGATACCCTACGAGATCCCCTGGACTCTCCCCCTGGCATCCCCCGCTCCAGCTTGCGGCCCCCTCCACGGCCGGCGGTGCCTTCCGCCGCTCGCGGGCCAGCTGGAGCAGAGTGTAGCCGCCGCCGTTGGCAACCGCCAGCGACAGGCCGGCGGCGATGAGCTCCTCGCCCGGGCGACGGCGGCAAGCGAGGAACACCCGATCGAGCAGGGGATCGACCCCAGAATTGATTTACCCCAGACTTCATTCCATCGTCGACTCGGCAGCGAAAACGTCATGTTTGTCATGGGCTCGGTGAAAGACTCAAGTTTAGGGCAAATCAATTATGTAGTCGATCCCCTACTCGACCCGAGGCAAGAAGGCGGAGAGAGGAGAGACCCAAACATCCGGCGGAGCGCCTGCCTTGAATCCCGGCGCATGTCCGCTGCTTCGGCCTCTGGAAACCTTATCCTAGGGAGCCAACAAAAGACTCCACCCTCGCACTAAGCACCCCGACAAGCGAAGCCATGTCGCAATCGCACCCAAGGAAGCAGTGGAGCAGGGAAGGGCTGTTTCGTATACGCCTAAAGCGGTCTCGAACACGCCAAGTATCGGGATCGGGGTGTTTTTTCCTCCTCTTGACTTGCCGGGGCCAGTGCCATCGGAAAACGATCGGGGACGAGAAATCACCCCAGGGAATGGGTCGAGAGCTCTGAGGCCCACAGAACATTTAGAAAAGAGGACCCGTGAGGAGAGGGGAGGGATTCAGCCTGCTTCAAACGCAGATCGCGTGGAGCAGGAAGGGCGACATCGAATTGATAATGCAACAGTTCTGGCAGATGCGAGCAGCAGAGCGAATCGCCTCTAAAACGGTACAACCCAGAACTCATCATAGAAAGGTGGCCGACCGCAAACGCATATGGTAATCAGCAAAGTGGAAATACCTGGTCACTGGCCTGGTCACTGGGCAAGGGGACCAAAAATGCCACCCGACGCCTGCCGCTTACCTTTGCCAGGAGGAGGCGGTCGAGGATTATCACGGGGTGGTTCCTCGAGGGCCTGCACGTCGTCGCTCATGACGGCCTCGGGACGCATGAAGAGCAGCAGGCAGCAGCAGAGGGCTCAGCAGCCGCCAAGAGAGCGACAAAGCGCACGGCCCCCTAAGATTCCAGGAAGCCCCCCCCCGCCCAAGCGGGCCGCCTGGAAGCCCACTGGCGGCTCCTGGAACGCCTTGAGAGGCCCTGGAGGCCCTAAGGAGGCACCTGGAACTCTGTGAAGGCCCCTTGAAAGCCGCTGGAAGCTCCTCCGGGGTGGGGGGGGTGGGAAAAGGGGGCTGCTGGTCGCCATGCCACGCTCAGGGAGCTCGACGAGACTAGAGACTGCTCCGCCCCTGGGGGACTCAAAACAAAGGCCCGTGGGAGACGGTGGAGGCCAGTGCAAGCCCTGAGGGGCCTCCATGGGCAGGCTCCTGAGGACTCCGTGAAGTTCCTGGAAGTCAGAGACCCGAGGCTTTGTCCAAGGGGGGGGCTGTCCCTCGCCGCCACACCCCTCGGAGGGTGGGGGGGGCCCAAACGTTTCCTGGAGGCCCTGGAAATCGAAGCCCAGAGGCCTGACGATTGCGGGCCCCATACACGCGACCTGGGGGCGAAGTTGTGGGTCCTGTGCTTTCGTTGGTCATACGCTTTGCTCCCGAGGCAACTTGCTGACCAGGTTGCTGTTGTGATAGGATAAAAGCTAGTCCTGGCAGAGGGGGGCGAAAGCAGAGACATCCTCAGAATAAATGTGTGGTCCGGGCCGTTTCGCTGGAGACATCCTCAGAACTCTCGTTTCCGAATTGGCCGGGATTTGGCGTTTCGTCTGAAACATCCTCGCAAATAGAAGCTCCGAGATGCCGCGCGAGAGGTGGTCCAGCGCGTTTCGCCTGAGACATCCTCGCAGCTCTAGGCTCCGAAATGCCGCGCGAGAGGGGGTCCTGCGGGTTTCGCCTGAGACATCCTTGCAACTCTGGGCTCCGAGATGCCGCGCGAGAGGTGATCTGGCGCGTCTCACCCAAGACATCCTCGCAATTCTAGGCTCCGAGATGCCGCGGGCGAGGTGGTCCTGCGACATCCTCGCAACTCTGGGCTCCGAGATGCCGCGCGAGAGGTGATCTGGCGCGTCTCACCCAAGACATCCTCGCAATTCTAGGCTCCGAGATGCCGCGGGCGAGGTGGTCCTGCGACATCCTCGCAACTCTGAGCTCCGAGATGCTGCGCGCGAGGTGGTCTGGCGCGTTTCGCCTGAGACGTCCTTGCAATTCTGTCTTCGAGGTGCCGCGCGAGATGTGGTCTGGCAAGTTTCGCCTGAAATATCCTCGCAATTCCTGGCTTTGAGATGCCGCGCGCGGGGTGGTCCAGTGCGTTACGCCTAAGACATCCATGCAATTCTCTGAGGTGCCGCGCGCGAGGTGATCCAATCCATTTCGCGTGAGACATCTTCGCAACTCTGGGCTTCGAGATGCTGCGCGCGAAATGGTCCAGCTCAGTGCGGATGCGCGTCGCTGCCAAAGCACGCTTTCTGCTCGTGCACTCGCCTGGTCCTCTTCGCCACCCTCAGCCCCTCCGTCCTTGCCGTTGCTGCCCTCCCTCTGCCGCTCCTCTCTCTTGCGCGCGGGCCACGTCCTGGAACCACCACCGCTGTACCCAGACCGCACAGGGTGGGGACCGCCACGAAGGGGGTGCTGTTCAGCGGGCGGGGAGATCATGGCCAGGGCCATGCTGCCTCCCAAGGATTTCGGGTGGCCCGGCGCGTTCCGCCTGAAACGCCCTCGAAATTTGGGCTCCAAGACGCCGCACGCGAGGCGGTCCAGCGCGCGCGTTTCGCCTGAAGCATCCTCGCAGTTCTGAGCTCCGCGATGCTGCGCGCGAGGTGGTCCGCCCCGTTGCGCCTGAGACATCCTCGCAACTCTGGGCTCCGAGAAAGCGTGCGCGAGGTGGTCCAGGTCGTTCCGCCTGAGACATCCTCGCAATTTTGGGTTCTGAGGTGTTGCGGGCGTTGAAATGTTCAGGCAGGGACGAAGGAGGAGAGGGGAGGGGTCAGACCGAAACGAACCGTTTGATTCCACTTATGTTGTCGAATTGCGGTCTGGGAGAGCTCGGCGCCACCGCCTCAGGTAAGGTGAGATATGCTCGAAACTCTGAGCTCCCAGATGTTAGCCTGTTCGCCTGAGACATCCTGACAGCTCTTGCTTCTGAGTTGGCTGGGCTTAGGGTGGTCCAGCGCGTTTCGCCGAATTCAAACATCCTCACAACTCTGGGATCCGAGATGCAACACGCGAGATGGTCTGGCCCGTTTCGCCTGAAACATCCTCAAACCTTGGGCTCCAAGGCGCCGCGCGCGAGGTGGTCTGGCGCGTTTCGCATGAAACATCCTCGCAACTATGGGCTCCGAGATGCTGCGCGCGAGGTGGTGCGGCCCGTTTCGCCTGAAACATCCTCGAAACTCTGGGCCCCGAGAGGGAGAAGGGAGGAGGGAGGAGGTGTCAGAACCAAACGAACCATTTGATTACACCTCTGTTGTCGAATGGTGCTCTGGTGTAGTTCGGCGCCGCCTAAGCTGAGACGAAATATGCTCGAAACTCTGAGCTCCCAGATGTCGCGCGCGAGGTGGTCCAGCCTGTTCGCCTGAGACATCCTTACAACTCTTGCTTCTGAGTTGGCTGGGATTGGGGTGGTCCAGCGCGTTTCGCATGAGACATCCTTCCAACTTTGAGCTCCGAGATGCCGCTGGCGGAATGCTCTGGGCCGTTTCGCTCGAGACATCCTCACATTTTGGGGTTCCGAGATGCTTCGCGCGATATGGTCCAGTCCGTTTGGCTTGATACGCTTCGTAGTCCAAGACCTCCAACAATCAAAAACCTCTCTCGTCCCTCCTCCCGCCTCCCGCACCCCGCCTTTCGCCTGCCGCCTCCCTCCTCCCGCTGCACGTCTGCTGCGCCTCTGCCTCCGCTTCGCAGTCGCCGCCTCCGTCGATTCGTGCAGCCTCGGCCATCCGCCGAGCGCGCCCTGCCTGCTGCCCTCCCCGGGCATCCGACGTCACGGCTCTTGTTTCGAGACGTGGGCCCGCGGACCTCTCGATCTCATCCCGGGGACAATTTGTTCTTCGAAGCTGATTCCCCGAATACCTTGCTCGACGGGGTGCTGTTATGGTCGTAACGAATTCCAGCCGCGGGGCGGGCGCCCAGAGACATCCTCAAGAAACGTTGGTGGTCGGGCCGTTTCCCCTGAAATCCTCACAACTCTCGTATTTGAGATGCCCGAGATTGCGCGATCCGCCTGAGACATCGTCGCAACTCTGGGTTCCGAGATGCCGCGCGAAAGGGGGCCCGGCACGTTACGCCTGAAACAAACTCAAAATTCTGGGCTCCGACATGCCGCGCGAGAGGTGCTCTGGCGCGATTCGCCTGAGACATCCTTGCAACTCTAGGCTCCAGATGCCGCGCGCGAGCTGGTGCGGGCCGTTTCGCTTGAGACATCCTCGTAACCCTAAGCTCTCCGAGATGCCGCAAGAAAGGTGGTCCGCCCCATTTCGCGGGAAACTTCCTCGCAATTCCGGGATCCGAGGTGCCGCTGGCGAGGCAGTCCAGCACGCTTCGCCCGAGACCTCCTCGAAACTCTGAGCTCCGAGATGCCGCGCGAGAGGTGGTCCGGCGCGTTTCGCCTGAGACATCGTCGCAACTCTGGGCTCTGACATGCTGCGCGCGAAGTGGTCTAGCAGGTTCCGCCTGAGACATCCTCGAAACTCTTGGCTCCGAGATGATGCGCGCGAGGTGGTCTGGCGCGCTTCGCCTGAAACATCCTCGCAACTCTGATCTCCGAAATGCTGCGAGCAAGGTGGTCTGGCGCGTGTCGCCTAATTCAAACATCCTTCCAATTCTAGGCTCCGAAATGCAGCACGCAAGGTGGTCTGGCCCGTTTCGCCTGAGACATCCTCGAAACTTGGGCTCCAAGGCGCGGCGCGCGAGGTGGTCTGGCGCGTTTCGCATCAGAAATCCTCGCAACTCTGAAGTCCGATATGCTGCGCGCGAGGGTGGTCTGGCCCGTTTCGCCTGACACATCCTCGAAACTCTGGGCTCCGGGAGGGAGGAGGGAGGAGGGAGGAGGGAGGAGGGGTCAGACCCACATGAACCATTTGATTGCACTTCTGTTGTCAAATTGTGCTCTGGCAGGGGCCTGGGCGCCGCCTGCCTGCTCCGTCCCCGCAAGCCGCGCGCGAGGTGGTCCAGCCCGTTTCGCCTAAGACAGCCTCGCAACTCTGAACTCAGAGTTGCCGCACGCCAGGTGATCCAGCGCGTTTCGCGTGAGACATCCTCGCAATTCTGGGCTCCAAGATGCTGCGCACGCGGTGGTCCGGCGGGTTTCGCCTGAGACTTCCTCGAAACTCTGGGCTCCGAGAGGGAGGAGGGAGGAGGGAGGAGAGAGGAGGGGTCAGAACAAAATAAACCATTCGATTACATTTCTGATGTCGAAGTGTGCTATGAGAAGGGTCTGGGCGCCGCCTGAAATATCCTCGCAAATCTGAACTCCCAGGTGTCGTGCGCAAGGTGGTCCAGCCTGGTTCGCCTGAGAGACCCTCGCAACTCTGGGCTCATAGATGCCGCGCGAGAGGTGGTCCAGCCCGTTTCGCTTGAACCATCCCCACGACTCTGGGCTTCGAGATGCCGCGCGCGAAGTGGTCCGGCGCGCTTCGCCTGAGACATCCTCGCAGCTCTGATCTTCGAGATGCTGAGAGCAAGGTGGTCTGGCCCGTTTCGCCCGAGACATCCTGGCATCTCCGAGCTCAAGATGCCGCGCGCGAGGTGGTCTGGACCGTTTCGCCTGAGACATCCTCACACATGTGATCTACGAGATGCTGCGCGCGAGGTGGTCCGGCGCGTTTCGCCTGAGACATCGTCGCAACTCTGGACTCCGAGATGCTGCGCGCGAGGTGGTCTGGCACGTTTCGCCTGACACATCCTCGATACTTTGGGCTCGGAGAGGGAGGGAAGAGGGAGGAGGGGTCAGACCCAAGCGAACCATTTGATTACTCGTGTGTTGTCGAATTGTTATCTAAAAAAAAAAAGGGTTTGGCACTCTGACCTCCCAGAAGTCGTGCGCAGCCCGTTCCGCCTGAGACATCCTCACAAGTCTGGGCTCCGAGAAAATGTGCGCGAGGTGGTCTTGCCCGTTTCGCTTGCGACATCCCGGCAACTCTGGACTCCGAGATGCTGCGCGCAAGGTGGTCTGGCCCGTTTCGCCTCAGACATCCTCGAAACTCTGGGCTCCGAGAGGGAGGAGGAAGGAGGGAGGAGGGAGGAGGGAGGAGGGGTCAGACCCACATGAACCATTTGATTGCACTTCTGTTGTCCAAGTGTGCGTTGGGATGAGTCGTGACGCACCTGGCCCGACGGAGGAGGTAGCGGCGCCAAGGCACGAGCGCGATTCCCTTGTACATTCCGAAGGTTTCTCGCAACCATGCTTGAGCAAATCGTGAAGATGCCTGAGCCGAGAGAGCGGCGAGTAGGGAGACGGCAGGATGGGGCAGGAGAAAGGGAGGAGGAAAAAGAAATAATGGAGGAGGGAGATGGCCCAAGCTACCTGTGTGATGGCATCCTTGGCGAGGATACCTCCTGGAAGCGGCAACGGCATGGAGGGGGAAGCGGAGAAGAGGAGGGACTTGGAGGAGAACGAAGAGGAGGAAAAGGACGGGGAAGACGAGGGGAAGGGAGAAGAGGAAGAGAAGGAGAAGGAGGAGGAGGAGGAGAAGGAGGAGCAGTAGGAGGAGGAGGAGGAGGAGGAATGCGAGGACGAGGAGGAGGAGCATTGCGAGGAGGAGCAGGAGGAGAAGGAGCACTGCGAAGAGAATGAAGACGAGGAACACGAAGAGTACGAGGACTACAAGGAAGAGCACTGCGAACAGGAGGAAAAGGAGCAGCAGGATGAGGAGAAGGAGAATCTGAGGAGTGCGATGAAGATGTGAGCATGACAAGGACGAGGATGAGGAGGAAAACGACTAGAAGGAATACCACCAGGAGGATGAGGAGGATTCGCGGAAGGATGGGGACGAGGAGAAGTGATATGAGAATGTTTTGAAGAAGGAGGAGGAGGAGGGGGAGGGGGAGGAGGGGGAGGAGAAGGAGAACCAGGAGGATCAGGATGAGGAGGAAGAGGAGGAATGGGATGAAGAGAGGAGGGGGATGATGAAGAGGAAGTGTCGTGCAAATAGGAGGGTAAGGGCGAGAAGGAGAATCACGTGGATGCGGAGAAGGATGACGACGACGACAATGACGAAAAGCTCGACGACGACGCCGAAGGCGCAGCAGGATCAGGAGCAGGAGGAAGCGCAAACACTCTGAGGAACCGCCTTGGCTCAACGAATGCCGTTTGGGGATCTGGAGCCTGGCTATAAGAAATTAGATGTGTAACTACATAGATCAGCAACTAAACGAGTACATAAATTGAAGTTGCGACCTGGCGGCGAAGCGCTCCCCATACCAGCGGCAAGCGCCGCGCGTCCTGTGCACACCATGACACCAATCCTCTACGCAAAGCCTTTGGGGGCACTGGCGTTTGCCTGAAGACCCTTAAAGCCCTTCGGGCCACGCCCTCCGGGCGGCCCTGGGAGCCCCTGGGGCCGCAGCGGCAGGGACCCCTTTGGGAAAGCTCCGAGGAGGCTGCCTGGAGGCACCGCGCCGCGAGGCGCTCCACGAGGAGGACGACGTGATCTCACCGACGGCTGGGGCATCCCTCG